TGGATGGCTAGTGACTAGTGTGACGAGGGTGACTGACCCACATGTCTCTCATCACACAGTAGGCTGGCTTGTACTTGTTCTCAGGGAGACTGAGGAGGGACCAGGAGTCCACATGGCCTCTTAGACCTAGATTCAGAACTGGCATGGTGTCATTTCAGCTATGTTCTGTCAACTAAAGCCAGTCACATGCGCTTTCCATATTCGAGGAATGGGAAAATAGATTTTACCTCTTGATGGGAGAATCTGAAAGTCAGAAAGCATGGACATGGAGAAAGGTAGAGATTCAGGGCCATTTTTGTGATTAATGAACCATATTAAGGTTCCCCTCAAATTTCTTCATATTGAGAGTCCAGCCTTTCTGAATCATTTTTTCACTTTGAATTGTCAATGTCTAGTGATTTACTACCCAGATTTGTTCTCTGGGTTATTAAGAACATTTCTTAGAAGAGTTCTCCTCCATTGTCATGGAGACTGTTTTCCAAGCCACTGCTGCCTGTTCTACAAAGTTCAATGCTTCCCTTTCTTCATTTTGTTAGAAGCAAACAAAAAAAATACCAACATAAATTACTCACACCCCACCTTTCACCTATTCTTAGAAATCTGGAAGCTTTTCTAACTCCAGTTCTTTTGTTTGGTGTGTGTATTGGGCTGAATGGTGGACCCAGAGATATCAGATCTTAATCCCTGAAAACTGTAAATGTTTCCTTACTTGGAAAAATGGTCCTTGCTGCTGTGTTTACATTATGGATGTTGAGATGGAGAGATTATCCTTGATTACTTGTGTAGGCCTTAAATGCCATTACAGGTGTCCTTATAAGAGAAAGGGAGAGAGACATTCAATACACAGAAGAGGAAAAGGGGATGTGAAAACAGAGGTAGAGATGGAGTAATGCAGCCACCAGAGGCTGGAAGAAGTGAGTAATAGTTTCTCCTCCAGAACCTCCAAAAGGAGTGGGGCCATGCCTTCACCTTGATTTTGATCCAGTGCAAGTGGTGTTGAAATTCTGGTCAACCAAGAAAAAAATAAGTTTCTGTTTTACCAGGGTGCCAAGTTCGTGGTCATTCATTGTGACAATCACAGGACACTAATACAGCATGTCAGAGGCAGTCTTTTGCACATATCTCAATAACCAAATGTAACAGGGTCATCCATGTACGTTTTCCTTCCTCTCTTAAGTTCTGTAAAGCATCTGGATGTCACTTGGCAAGAAAATGCAGAGCCATAGGTATTCCTTCAGGGACAAGGATCTTTGTTCTGCACACTACTTTCCCATTTCCATGCCTTTTTGTGCATAGCAGAATGACACTTTATATTTATTATTTATACAATACTGAATCAGTATACCCTTTTTTAAAGATATTTTTAGTGGCAGTGAAATCCAGCATGGGTAATACCAACAATATGGATAATTCAAACAAAGAGGCCAATGTTGAGATGCATCCCAGTTTTAGAAATGTGTGAATGTGGAAAATAATGCATCTCCATAAGATAATATACAACAGTTCATTTCATTCCATGTGCCATCACTGAGTACACACTGAATGCTGGACCTTGTGTTCTAGAAAGGAATGAATAAGATGATGTCCTCCTGACCTTCAGCTTGGGTCTTCCTCTCCGGAAGTTGCAAAATTTCTTCTACACAAGGGCCTAGGAAGGCAGAGCAACCTTGTATTCTGAAAAGCACCAAGTGTGCCTCTTTCCACAAGATGGGCTACTAGGACACGCTGGTTGCTCTGCCACATTCAAGCCAGCAGGCACCGGCACCTCAGCCTGTGTCGTTCATGAAGCTAGTCCAGCACGGCGTGCTCCCAGCTGCCTCTACCCCAGACTAACTCATCTCCCAGTAGTGGGCAAATATGTGGAAAAGTGATTTCAGAGGTTCCTTTCCACATCTAAGGGGATTGTCCTGGAGGTTTTTTATTTTCCTAAGGCTAAAATGAAATCTCAGGCCTTTTGGAGATGGGCTAAATACAGTGGGCTATTATTTTGGTAGACTGACGTAACCAGCCATTTTATAAATATGTGCTCTCAGTCCTTAAAAACATTAGCATATGATAGGTATAGTAGAAAAAAAATGACCTTTGCTATTGAAAAAATCAACACCAAAACTATAAACAATAGAGCATCAGAGTCAGCCATGCCCCGTGATAACTGAGCTTAACTTTTCATTTCTCACCTGCTGAGTCTTCTGCGTCATCTCGGGGGCCTTCTCCTCAAACAGCTGATCGACTTCCAAGGTCTTTTTGTCTCCAGGATCTAACATTTGCTTTTTCTTCTGTTTGGAATCTTATAAATCAGCTCACAAATAAGACACTGCTGAAGTTCACTGTCTTTCTCAATATTTCATATCAGGTATATTCTAATTTATTAGAATAAGGGTTTTAAAAGTGATATTTTCAAAAGCTCTTTGACAGGTCTGGGTTTTGGAGTCTCTGCCACAAGTTGTTCTGACCCTGAGCTAATCATTTATAACCTTTCTGTGCCTTGGTTTCCTCGCCAATAAGAATATTTCTAAAGTTCCTTCTAGCATTAAAAAGAAAAGAAAATGAAAGAAAAAGAGCCAGGACTCTATAGAAAACTTCCTGTGGCTTTTGAGCCATACTGCTGGTATTTGGCCGGATAAATGTCCACCCAGGGTCATCTGGATGTCGCTGGAAGTCCCAGAAATTGTTGGTAGCTTGACAAGTTCGGGGACCTCTGCTAGCCCTGCCTGTCAAAACCAAACAGAACATGAAAGTTCTTCTAAGACACTCTTTCATTGGAATGATGTCCTTTTCTACAAGTTATATAATATTTAGAGAAAATTCCAAAATAAATTATATGTTCATATGTATTTAGTTACTATTCTGACCCTGATCTGGGGCCCATCGCCACCAGCGGCTGGATGAGCAAACACAGGAGGCTGGCCCAAGTGTGTGGCATTCTCGGAAGACTTACTCGGAAATATTCTCGAAATATTTTATCATATTTTGTTTATTGCACCCACAGTCTAGATAATCATTCTATGATTTTCAATATGCAGATTGTGCTTGACCTTGCGCTGTTTCACTTGAGACGAAGATGCCCCCCTTGAATCTTTGCCTGCATCTTCCAGAAGTAGAATTCTAGGTCAATGGGTGGCACTAATTTTAGCTTCTTCGAACATACTGCCAAATTGCTTCTCATTTTATGCCCCACCAGCAAGTTCCCAGATCACTACTTAAATGTCACTGTAAATTTTAAATGTAACTGTTTTTCTTTTGCCCACATAAGGAAGTCTGACTATTGAGCAGATGAAGAGAATGAGGTGTTGAAATGAATGAATTTCTCTCTTCTCCATTGATTCATATTATCACCCCTTTTGGATCAAACCATGATATCTTTTACAATAATATTTGTTCTTGTGCAAGGGCTGAAGGAGAACATGAAAAATAAAAACTATTATAACTTTGCAGCTGCTGAGAGAGGGAGTAAGCTTGTTTGCAAAATTTCACCTTTACGTTCCATTTATAGGAACCTTTTTTTATTTTTATTTAGTTATTTTTCAAGTACAGTTTTCTGTTTATTTCTCCCATCCAAACCCACCCTTCCCCATGCACCCCACCTCCCTCCCATTTCCACCCCCCTTAGTTTTTGTCCACGTGTCCTTTATACTTGTTCTTCTAAATCCCTCCCATTTTTCCCCTTAAATTCCCTCCCCTCTCCCCTCTGGTTGCTGGCCCCTTGTTCTCTATTTCAGTGTCTTTGTTTTTATTTTGCTTGCTTGTCTGTTTTGTTGTTTAGCTCACTGTAGGAACCTTTAAAAACAAAATTCTACCCTTTATCACTCACAGGAAAGGCTTTTATCCCCAAATGAGAAACTTCAAAAATGAATTGTTGCCAAATTAAGACAAATTCCCTTAACTTTTTTCTGACATAAAAATAATCACTGAAGGTGGAAAGTGAAGGTTTACTTCCAGAGATGGCGGTAACACAACAAAATACAGTTAATATTGTATATGTAGTTTATAGCCTGCTTTTTGTCACTTAATCTTATAAAGTAAGTTTTTTGCCATGTCGTGTAAGTTTTTTTCATTTTTAAAAAATATATTTTATTGATTATGCCATTACAGTTGTTCTATTTCCCCCTTCATTCCCCTCCACCCTGCACACCCCTTCTCCACACCTAAAATAAAAGCAAACTAAGAGGACAGCTAGATCAGGAGCAGAACCATAGAAATGAAGATCACATGGAGGGTTAGCAACAGGGGAGTGGGAGAAGGAGAAGGGGTGAGAAGGTACAGAGAATAAGTAGCATAGATGGTAGGTAGAAAATAGATAGGGGGAGGGCAAGAATAGTGGGGGAAATATAGAATCTAAAGAACTTGAGACACGTGGTCATACAAGTTTTGAAACACTATTTTTAAAAGATTGGGCAATTTTTCGTTTGATGCATAGTTTATTTTTGAATTTAAGTTGTTCATAATTTTTCTGTGATAAATAATACTATATCGAGCATCCTTATATATCCTGACACGTTTGATTATTTCCCAGGTCATTTTTAGGATACACATCTAGAGGTTACTCTTTTTTAAAAGATTTAATTTATTTATTTTTAAATAGAAGGAAAATGAGGGAGAAGGAGAGGGAGAAACATCAATGTGTGGTTGCCTCTCACGTGTCCCCTGCTGGGAACTGGCCTGCAACCCAGGCATGTGCCCTGACTGGGAATCAAACCGGCAACCCTTTGCTTCAGAGGTTCATGCTCAACCCACTGAGCTATACCAGCCAGGGTTAGAAGTTATTCTTTATAAATATTACATAAATGTTTCACAGGAAGGCTGTACTAAGTTCTCACCAGCAGTGTATGGGGAGTACTGGGGGGGGGCTGGGTTGGGAGTAAAAGACAGAAAACTGTACTTGAACAACAATTAAAATAAATTAAAATTTAAAAAAAGAAAGGCCATTTGAATGAGTCCTTATGAACACTGAATATTATTCTTATAAATCTTTATTAAAGACATCTTGTTATTTTTCCAGATTGCTCTCAAACCAGGTGTTGGTGACTTTCCTTATTTACACAGTTTTTATTGAGTGACAATGAGAATTTCTGTCCCCTGGAATTGTTTAAGGGTTGCTCTGAGAGGCAAGTTATTTTCCTTTGTAGCGTTTGGGCTGGGGAGCTGCTGGGCTGCATAGTCCACTGGAGTCAGGCACCGCTGCAGGTTCCCTAAGTGGTCTATCGCCTTGCTTCCCATCAGCTTCACTGCTACGAAATAATAAGGTACGTGTAGAACAGATGCCCCGTTGTTCTCCTTGGTTTGCATGGGGCTCAGAAGTCCTGTAATGAATACCTTGAACTCTCTTTACAGTTGAAGTTGAGAGATGTATAGACCTGATGATCTGCAGGTCTCCAAAGTCATCTGGGGTGGAGGGAAGACTGGGAAAGTTGGAAGAGAATGATCACCGTCAGTGAGAAAGAGTGGATGGGCTACACTGTACGGCAGCAGGGCATGAACACTGAAGTGATCATCTGCTCTACGGGGAATGAGGGACTGGGCCCAACTGCCCTCTAAACTAGCCACCGAGGCCTGAGAGAACAGTATCCCAGGAGGGCAAATTACTTCACTGTGAGAACCCTGAGAATCTCGTTTTTAAGAGCAAGTCACCTGAAGTAGGAGATTTCCTACAGTTGGTGTGAAAAAAAAAACCCACTAGAGAACTGCTCAAGACCAACAGAAGCCCGTGGGAGAAGGAGTCGCTGTCTCAAAGCAGCTGCTTCAGTAGGAGGGTGACAGCTGTCCACTGAGCAGGAAGGAGAGAGGGGCCAACACTAGCGTAAGGGCCCAACAGCCACAGCCCCGATTACCTGGAGAGGACAGTCCCCATGCTTCAACCCAGCTCCTGTCCCCGCCCAACCAGTCCTCCAGAGATTCTGATACCAAACATGGTCCTAGACAGGGTCCTGCCCTAGGAATTCACTGAGCCAGTGACCACAGCTTGCTAATCAATACACTGGGGGCTCCAAGCACTGGGGTATGTGGGGTACAAACATGAAAGATTGATTCTCATGAGGGAAGCCTTTTTCACCTGTATGAAACTTATGAACATGTTTTTATCCGGCTGGAACCACAGTATTTCTAAAGGAAACCTCTTCATTTCCTAAACTAAAAAAGGTGTTGATTGTTACAAATTCCATCTTCATATATGCGGGTTTGTGATCACTGTTAATAATGGAGAAGAACAGATCCTTCCAAACAGCTTTCTTTGCTTAGAGAAAATATACACATATTGTACATACACATGCATGTATAGATACATACTGTGCTACTCAGAATCTCCTTTTCCTAGTGGGGAGCAGATCCCTAATGATATCTGAGGCAGATACAGCATTTCCAATGCTTTGTTATTAGGAGACGAATTCAGTACTGCCCAGCTTACAACTCAAACCTCATGGCTGATGTAGATCTCATCTCCCCCACTAGTCGTGGCTCACAGCTTCAGGGACCTGCAGTGGGTTTGCTCTGTGCTCCTCTGCCAGGTGACTGACATGGGTTGGAGTGACAGGAAGAGGTCTGGATTTTCTATCCCTCCAGCTTATTCAAGAACGTATTTCTTTGGTGGTTGAGGTTGAAAGGGAGGATGAGAGAGGATTTTTTTGTATTAACTGCCCCTGTTGCGGTCTTCGATTTGTTGTTGCTTCTCACTTGCCCTGCCTGGCTCGCCTCTATGTTTGGCAAGGGCCCAAATATGTCCTCTCACTTGGGCTCAAGAGTAGGTTCTTGCGCCGGCTCTTTTTTGGAGGGGGATGTGCTGGGAGGGGAGAGGATGATGTGAAGCTACCCTTCTGCACAGTGCAGTTTGTGTCTATATCTTCAGGTCTGACTTTCCTTCGGTCTCCGCCCTCTTGCCACTGACATCCCCTCACTCTGTGGTCTGCTCTCATCTGTCTGCCTTCTGCCTCCAATTCCGTTTTTCCATGTTCACACAGGTACATGGGCAAATTGATGAATCAACTGCTTAAGCTAAAAATCCTCAAAATTCCTTTAGGGAACAACATGCAATTCTCATAGTTTTTAAGGCATCATCAATGTCTGTAAGCAGTTATTCCAACCCCTCTCTCCCTTACCTGATTTTTCAAGGGAAGTCAGTGGAAAATAAGCAGAGCACCCACATAAGCCAAAAGCATCTGACTCCAAAGACTTGTCCTTACCCTACCACGATTTACAGGTCTTCTGCTCAGAGGACAGTAAGGGAGCACTGTGGTGAGCGTTGAAGTTGGAGGAAGGCAGGATTCTCTGGGATAATGATTGGAGACAGCAGAGTTAATCCAGCCAATTATTCATAAGCCCTAAGAGAAATGTCATTCTACAACTGTCCAAGCTTCCTGGAGGATGTCACTAGAATATAGTGAATGCCCCTTCGTTCACACTTATTGCCTTAATGGCCAATTCTAAGCAACAGGAAAAACCCCACTCAACAATGTTTTACTTTAAAAATTAGAATATATTATAAATATTATTTTTTCAGCTTGCTTTTTAAAAAGGAATGACTACATATAATTTCAGTACTTGCCAGGGGTTGGGGTAGGTCACGGAAGGATAAATCGGTGGAGCACAGAGGATTTTTAGGGTGGTGAAAACACTCTGTATGGTACTACAGTGATGGATGCACGTCATTACACATTTGTCCAAACACGCAGAGTGTGTAACACCAAGAAGAAACTCTAATTTAACTATGGACTCTGGATGGTTAAGATGTAGGTTCATCAGTTGTATCACTCTGGTGTCAGGTATTGACAATGGATGTGCAAAGTGGGGGAGGGGGGTACATAGGAACTCTGTGCTTTCCTCTCAATTTAGATTCCTATGAACTTGTAACTGCTCTAAAAAATAAAACATTTAAAGACAATATAATCAATATATACCAATACTAAGGTAACAGAGATGTTAGAATTATTGTTTCAACGAACCATTGCAAGCATGCTTGAAACAAATGTCAAAATATAAAGCCTCAGAAAATAAATAGAAAGTCTCAGCCAAGGATTATAAAGAGAAGGAAAAAATAAGAGGAAGGAGAAGAGCAAGAAAAGAAAGAGAAGGAAGGCATAAAAAACTAAATAAAAAATTTAGAACTAAAAGATGCAATAACCGAAACAGTAAGCTCCATGGATAGACCCAATGGCAGAACGAAGAGCACAAGGAAACCATTGGTGAGCTGGAGTACGGGACAATGGAAATTGCCAAACCTGAACAAAAAAGAGAAAATACACTGAAAAAATATATTAAGTGCTTTGGTCCTTTGGGAATATAACAAAAAGATCTGCTATTTGTATAATCAGAGTCCTGGAAGGAAATAAAAAAGAGAACAGGACTGAAAAAGTACTAAAGATATAATCACTGAAAATTTCTCAAATTTGGCAAGAGACCTTAAACCTACAGATTCAAGAAGGTATGTGAACTGCAAACAGAAACAGGAAAGAAAAATCCAGGACAAGGTTTGACTAGGGACAAACCACTAAAAGTTTTCAAAACATAAAACAAAAAAAGAAGTCTTGAAAGCAGCCCCCAAAATGCGGTACCTTAGCAATACAGAGAAAACAGTACGAATGGCTGTGGATTTCTCATTAGAAACAATAGAGGTCACATAGAGGCCACCCAGAATTTTTTAGGTTCTGAAAGGTAAAATTGCCAAGGCAGAATGCCATACCCAGAAAAAAAAATTCTTTCAGGAATAAAGGAACCTCAGATGAAGGAAAACTAAGAGATTTGTCATAAGCAGACCTACCTAAAAATGGCTAAAGAAACTTTCTAAACTTAAAAAAAATGATAAAAGAGGGAACCCTGGAACATCAAGGAGAAAACAAAAACAAAGAAAGTAAAAATGTCAGTAAATACAATAGACTTTCATTCTCCTTTTGAGTTTTCTAAATAATGTTTGACAGTTGAAGCAAAAATTACTAAAACATTGTCAGATGTGGTTTGAACTGGTAAAATGACAGCACATGCAGAGTGTGATGTGTTATGTGTGTATAAGGTAACGCGTAGGAAAGCACTGATGTATCTATACAAAAAAGATGCACTGAAAACACTGTAGGTAATAAAACTCTGAAAATTTTCAAGCATCCCACAGGAAGGCATAAGAAAAAAACAAAAACAGAGTGAACAAACAAAAACTAAAATAGCAGACTTGTAAGTCCTAACATACTAATAGTTACATTAAGTGTAAATAATCTAAATATACCAATTAAAAGATAAAGGTGGCCACGGTGGACTTAAGAATGTGACCCAACTATAAGGTGTCTGCATAAATCCACTTCAAAATTCTAACAATATAGATAGGTTGAAAGTAAAAGAATGAGAAAGGATAAATTATGCAAACTAACCAGGAGTGACTACATAATAACATCAAAATAGATTTCAGAGCATGGAAATTATCAGAGAGAGATGGACTTTAATATAATGATAAAGAAATACATCAAGAGAATATAAAAATCTCCCTGGCTGGTGTAGCTTAGTGGATTGAGCACAGGCTGCAAACCAGAGGGTCGCCGGTTAGATTCCCAGTCAGGGCACGTGCCTGGATTGTGGGTCAGGTCCCCAGTGGGGGCCACATAAGAGGCAACCACACATGAATGTTTCTCTCCCTCCCTTCACCTCTCTCTAAAAGTAAATAAATAAAAAATTAAAATAAAATAAAATTATTTTTAAAAAGAGAATATAAAAATCTTAAATATGTATTACCAAACAGTTGAAGCAAAAATTGATAGAACGAAAAGGGGAAATTCACAATGATAGCATATTTGACACCACTTACTGAACATTTTTAGAGCGACTAGACACAAAATAATCAAGGATATACAATAATTTCAACATGTGATTAAGAAAGCTTTACTTTCTATAAGATTATCATTAAGGTATTATCTAAAATTTTTCTATTACATTTATAGCTCTTTAGGTTAAAATGTTAGTTTCCCTTGGAATTTAATTCTAAATACTCTATAAAGAAAAGGTTTAACTTATTTTTCTAAGTGGATATTTGTCCCTAATTATTTATTAAGTAATTATTCCTAAAATATCATTATTATTGCTTAGTACTTTAATTGAAATGTCCATTTTATCACATGGACAATCCCCATATACTTGTACCTGTTGCTGGACTGTCTATCACTTGTTTGACAAAGTGGGAGGGTTTCTATTTAGTTATGTATTCGTATCCAACTTCTTATTCATGACAATGTGTTCTCCTTTCTCCCCCATCTCAGCTGACTGTTAAAGCAAATTTCTGTTACTTAAATGACAACACAAAGTAGTGCATTAAATGTAAATTTAAGTTGAAATAATCGGCAGATATGGAGAATAGCCAAAAGCATACACAATTCATCCTAACTGGCAAATACTCTAAAACCTGCCCTTGTTGACACAGGGGAGCAGCAAAGAGTGAATTGTGGACCCATCAGTTTGTCCACTGATAGGACTTTATTTACTCAACTGTGCTTGTTACATACAAAATATGCAAAATGGTGTTTTGTCTGTTGCTACTATGTTTATTGTAAGGTTGTTGTTGAGAACCTAACAAGGTATGCTTGCCAATTTCACTAATGTTCCAGAAAGCCAGACATGGTTGAGCTTCTCCTGCCAACTGGTTTGTTTCTCATCTTGGTATTGTGAACAGGGTAATGTATGTGCCCCTTTGCACAGATGCTTGAGAGATCACAGGCAAATCATAAAGAGAAAGCTCATAGCAAATACTCAGAATCATGTAGCCAGTTTGGTGCACTGGCTCCACCACAGGACTCATCTTGGTTTTCAGGTCCGTGCTCAATCCACTAAGCCACACAGACCAGGGCTTATTTTTCATTTTTATCCTGCCTTCTATTATCTACATGCAGCAGGCAGAACAATGACTTCCCGAACATGTCCATCTTCAAATCCCTGGAACCTATGAATACATTATGTTACATCATGTGATGGTCTTTCTGGAATGTGAACTTGGCTAGCCTAAAGTCCCCAGTTATTCAATCAGTCACTAATCTAGGTGTTGCCATAAAGGTATTTTATGGATATAATTAAAATTCATATTCAGTTAACTTTAAGTAAAAAAAGATTATGTGGATAAACCGGGTGGGTCTCATCCAATCAGTTAAAAGGCCTAAAAAGCAGAGCTGAAGTTTTCTAGATGAAAAAAAATTCCACCCGTGGACAGAAGATACAGTCTGTGTCCAAGAGTAGAGCTAGACATAGTGAATGTCTTATCCTCGGTCATGGGATTCCACACGGTATTGCTTCTGACCGAGAAACTCAGTGCACAACTAACCAAGTGCATCGGTGGGTCTATACTCACGGACATCACTGGTATGACCATATTTCCCACCACCCTGAAGCAGCCAGTTGGAGGAAATGGTGGAACAATGTTTGGAAGAGTCAGTTACTGCACTCGCCAAGTGGCAATGCCTTGGCAGGCTGGGGAAATGTTCTCCGAGAGGCTGTGTATGTGCTGAAACAGCATTCAGTGCATGCCATGCATCCAATAGCCAGGATCTGCAGGTCCAGGAATCAAAGGGTGGAAATGGGAATGGGCCACGTAGAATTACTCCTCATGATTCCCCGTCTACATGACCTTCACCTTTGCTGGTCCAGAGGTCTTAGTTCCAAAGGGAGGAATGATTCCACCTGGAGACACAACCATGATTCCATTAAACTGGAAGTTGAGACTGTCATCCAGCCACTGTGGGGTCCCCGTGCCTCTGAATCAACAGGCAAAGAAATGGTTACTCTATTGGCTGGGGTGATTTTTCCTGGTTAATAAGCAAAGTGGGTTGCTACTACACAACGGAATTTTAAAAGAACATACAAGAGATACCCTAGGGCATCTGTTAACACATTCGAATCTCCTTATTTGTGCTCGTTATGTCCTATAAAGCCACTGTAAACACTGAGATAGGAAATACTGAACCACTGCTCCTAGAGGAGAAGGTATTGTATGTAGTATGGGACTAAGGTATGAGCTCCATCCCACCTTAATCCCAAGGCAGAAAGAAGCAGCCTGCCACCTCATGGGGTTGTAGAGATCCCCTAGAGCGACTCCCAGAGCTTTGTGCGTTCTTTGGGGATGGAGGGGTGGCTCCCTCCTGTGGTCACGGAGGTTAACTTCTTTTGTGGTGCAGCCAGGACTGGGATGCTGTGCTGGGAGCTGTATACACAGAGCTTGTCCTTTATAGGAGAGAAAATGCCAGACATGAGGTCATCATAAGCCTGGTCCAAGCAGACCACCTGGAGAGGCAGAGGGACCCAAGCAGTTAGGTAAAATCCACAGACAGAGCCTCAGGGGGCCTCCAGAAGTGGAGATGCACCTGCCTGGGACAAAGGACACGGTCCGTAAGAGAAAGCTTGGCTCCAAATATCTGCCACATTGAGAGCACATTAGAATGGTACCCTCTTTTTAAAGATATTTTATGAGTCTCTGAACCTACTCCTTCCTGTTTCAAATTTTGGGAGTCAGAAACTGGCAGTGCTACAGATAGAGGAAGAGAAAAAAGGGGAGGAGAGACTGAGAGGAGGCCAAGTATATTTTCCTTTTCCACTGCTGGCTTCAGGTAGGTCTGCTCTAGGCAGTTAAAGTTTAACACATAATATGGCTCAGGATTTCTATTAATGGGTTGGTTGGACGTTCAAATTCCTGAATTGTGATTCCATGACATTTAGAACTGTGTACTATTTAAGAACTAGCAAAAGAGTTATAAGACTTGCCAAATTTTCATCCAGAAGAATGAGTTCCCCCACTGAACACTTTTTAAAAAGCAATAGGAGAATAGATAAATAAATAAGTAAATAAGTGTTTGGAAAACATCAGTATACCAGTTACATTTATTATAAGGACTTCCTTTTCCTCACAGTATATTCCAGCTAAGTTGAAAAATTAACACTAACTCTTTCTCCCAAAGACCCCCTTTTCCCTGCTGTGCAGAAATGGAGAGCTGAGCCTAGATCCAACAAGATCTCCTCTCTTATTATTCACCAAATTGTACATTCTTCCTTTACATAATTTTTATACATCTATTCCTTCCTTTCCATTTCCCCTACCTTCCACTGCTCTATCATAGGCCCAGATTGCCTCATATCTTGGTTAATATAGTAGTTTCTCATTAATGTCTTTGATTCAGTCTTGGAATCACTTCCCAATGGAATCTATATTACACTGAAACCAACTCTTCCTGAAAACACGGTATCTCCCCCAGTTTCCTTGTCTGGCTTTTGAGGCATTTCGTCATCTGACTTGACCTTCACCCCAGCTCTACTCCTACATCTTCCCTATCTGATGCATTGGTTCCAGGTGAACAGGTGTGCCTCTGCATCTTTTCTTTCTGTCTGAAATATCTCACGATTGTGGCTATATTTCGGTTCTGTGAAGTCCTATCCTTCCTTCCAAATCCAACTTAAATGCCACCTCATCCATGAAGCCTTTCCCAAACACCTCGGCTTGAAAATATTAGCTGCAGTGTAAGGCAGATTGTAAAACGGCACAAAACTACCTAGTTAAATCAACTACAATATTTGCAGGTCCCCATCAATACTGATTTGACTCTTGGGTAAAATGTGTACATCTGAGCCAAGAATGGATTGACAAAAGGGACACGAGTGACGTGAAGAAACAAAATCTCTATTCTCTATTCATAATTTCCCAGGAAAATATGAGGGACAGAAGAAATTTGGTCATCAGAAAGGTACTTTTTTAATAAAATAGTTTGGTTTTCACCGACGTTGGATGAAGGACCCAGCTTATGAGTCCACGTCCAATTACCGGGCCGAAATGATATATGGTAACCTAAACAAGGAAAGGTTAATTAAAAAAGTTACTAACTACAGCAGAGGATTAACTAGAAAGGGAGAACCCTGGGGCTGAGGGGGCTTACCCCCAGAGGGAACAAACTTGGAAGAGAAGCCCCCATACAAAGCTAGGATCCAGGCCTTACTGGAGAAGTCCACTGGACAGAGAAGATCCCTGGGTTGTCCACAGCGGGTCTCAGCAGAGGTCGGCAAGCAAGGAGTGGGGACTAGCACACTGGGAACACTCTTCTGAGATCCGGGCAAGCAGAGACTGGCAAACTGGGAACCCTGGTTAGGAATTTCGCAAGGGAAAACCATCCACAAGAGCTACCGCCAGAGATCTTGTGTTTTATCAGCCTGCAGACCCTGCTGTAGTGTAGCCAAGCTGGCCCCTGCAAAGACGCTGCCGGAAGGAGCGCAATGGACGAACCAGAAAGAGTAGCCCTTTTCTCTTGTGGTGTTCCTCGAGCGCCCTCTACTGACAAAGCTGAACACCGGGCCAGCTGCAAAGAAGGGCTTAGAAAAGGGAGCTCCGGAGCAGTGGATTTGCAGCCGAGAGCAATGCATGGATAACCAGAACACTGCCAAAAACATTATCTCCCTGTGTTTTTATTGTCCTATTCAGCAGAAAAAAATAGATTTGTAAGTCAACTTCCCAGGTACCTAAATCCCAGGATTTCTCTAGATACCTCCAACATCAAAAATCCAAGGAGAACAAAAACATTACTGACACTTGCTCTAGAATCAATATTTACATATACTATTCCCCGATGTAAGATAAAGTAATACGCACTACATTAGATATTAAGCAATATGTAAATGCATGATACTTCGTTTTATTGTAACATATGAGGAAAATGAAGCTTAAGAACACACAGTAAGTGATTGGTATAAAAATCTGTACCTGGGAAAAATAAGTGTCTGTTCACCTGACTTTCTTGCCAAGAGACTAATTTGTGTGTGTGTGTGACATGCTAGGAAATTTCAGGTTCTAGGCTTCAATCAAACACGGTGCCTCAACAAGAGCCCTCGAGAAATCCTTCAGGCAATCAAGTGCTGCCATATGCATGGCATGTTTAGATGAATGACTCTGAAATGCAACAGAAGTTACAACTTTCTCTGTGAAATTCGGTAGCTTCACTGTGAGCACACGAAAGTCTAGTTTCCAACACATCTCCACTTCTGGGGAAATTCTCTCAGTCTACGGTTTATGGAGCCCTGAGCTAGCATGAGGCCTTGTGCTAAGGGCTCTGTGTGCCTTTTTCTGTGTCGTCCTGCCCGCAACCCAGGGGCAGGTGTTACTACCCCATTTTTCAGATGAAGAAACTGAAGACTGGAGAGAGAGGTTAAATACCTTGACCGAAGTCATTGCCTAAGTGGGCACTGGAATTTGAATCTAAACTGGTCTGATTCAGAGCTCAACTTCATGACCACACCGTGAGGCCATCCAGACGCCATCTGTGGTACCCCTTCTTTATTTCAAGTGTTCTAGAATTTTAAGATTTAAAAATATAAAATGAAGTTAATATACTTCTCAGCTTCTTTTGCCTAGTAAATGAGATTGCTTCTTTGAGTTATTAGGCTCCTTTAAGAATGTTAAACTGTCGAACATGGTGCAGTTTATTTTTAATCCTAAGAGATTAACAGGGGAAGCGTTACTGACACAGTACCCCTTGTCCATTCTCATTAATTCCAGGTGCAGTACCACAGACTTGGGGGAACCTGATGTGATCAATTGGCAATAGTCTCAATTGAGGATGGTGGCTAATACAGTCAATGTTTTTGGAGGACTTAATTTTCATGGTCTTGCTTCTTACCCTCAGTGTGCTGGCTGGAAGCATGACGTCCACAGAGGGGGTCTCTCTGGAACCCAAAAAGTGTGTCGCCTTGAGCATCAGCTATGTTTAACTAAAAATAGATCTCTGTGTGCATTTCTGCGAGAAATGTAAGTTCGAACTAGAGCAGAACTTACATAACTACGGAAAGAAAACCTACCTAATATTTAGGCATTTGCTTCACTTACCATTCATTGAATTCTGTTTCATGTCATTTCTAGAATATGACTATCACACCAAATGTATCTAATTGTGAAAGTAGGAACAAAGAGAATTTTAAGAATTTAATATCCTATAATGTATTACTTAATTCTGTTTTATAAAATAAAATTGTGTGCATCTAGACCTATTTTAAGATTTTATATATATACATATATATATTCCGAAGGGCCTTTTACAGACAGCTCAATCCTGGACGCCTGCCAAATTTATCTTCCTGGAGGTGAGGCAGCTCCAGGGCTGGGTCTGACGGCTGTGGGGGAGCTCCCGACATCGTCTACAGGAGACCATATTACTGTAAACCCCACTAAGTGAGTCATATTGACAATGACATGAGTTGGTGATCGCTGTTCTAATTCATGGAAAATCACCTTGCATGCTTTCCCCAGTTCTCACGCTTCTTTGTGTAATCCCCTCCTTTCCGTTCCTTTATCACGGCCACAGGGTGGCAGCCTTGCTTCTCGTTTCCCCTTGTCTTTCCAAGGCAGGGATTCTCCTTACAGCCAGGGGTTGGGTTTCAAAAGAAACCTGCAGAGGCGGAATCACCGTCTGGAGGAAACCGGCAGGAAAAGGAGTGTGGGCCTTTGTCTCCTTATTTAGAAAACTGATTTGATCTCCAGAGTCCTTTCTAGCTCCAACTTACGATTCTGAAACAGACTTGACACTGAACCCGAATATACTAAAATTGTGGGAAGAGGGTGGTAGGTAGGACAAAGCCTTCAGGAGCAAGCAGGCAGAGGAGGGAAGTAGTGGGGGAGGGCTGGAAGTGAGGGTTTCCCGGCATTTTCCAAACGAGAGGCAGGACTGCAAGTCCAGCACCTCCTGAAGGGCCGAGAGTCTCCAGGACTGTGAATTAAGGAAGATGGTGGCAGAAGTTATGAATGGGCAAGACGAGACTTGTGATAAGTGTTTAATTTCCACAACCTAGAAAATGTGCTAAAATCAATCCTTATACATAAAATTAACATCTCAGAGGAGAACTAGAAAAAACATCTAATGAACTTCTTGGAGGAGAAATGCAAAACCAGACAATCCAATCAAGGCATGGTTTCAATAAGGGGAAAAAAAACCAATACCTAATCTTTTCTTTAGAGGCTATTGTAACTCCTCTAAAGAAAAAATAATTTAACAAAGCCAGCAGCCTGCCACCTGCTTTTATCTTCGGTGTCTGAAAAAGAAGACACAGAGAATTGGAAACGTGTTCTCCAGCACTGTTTAGGAGAGAGTCTTGATCATATTGCATGTATGTTTAGTCTATTTGAGGTGAATGCACTTTTAAGCAAGAAATCTTAGTTTGATAAATAACACTTGTCACTTAAAGTCTATAAGGATTTGTTCAAACAAATTCTCTGATCACCTGCTATCTCTGTTATAGAAGCAATATCTATTTTTAATATTTATTTGGAAACCATGTAACAAAAGGCTTCAGAGCACAAGCTTTGAAATCAGACAAAGCAAACTGAAACCATCCCGCCACTGGAACCAGCTACACAGACTGAACATTTTCTTCATCATTGCAGAGATGCACCAACACACCTCTGGGTTGCTTCTGAGGGTGAGCTGACGTAATGAATGTAACAAGTTAAGCAGTTTCTGGCACATGCTAGATTCCCAACAAATGACAAATAATTCTCACCCCTCTACCTCATCCCTAGACACACTGATCAGGTTTCTGTCACTGTATATCGGTTGTATTGCCTGGAATTTCATATAACTAAAATCCTACAGTATGTACTCAGTTTTGCCTTTTTCCATGTAGCGTAACTATGCGATGATTCATCGGTGTTGTTATTGCCTGTGTCAGCAGTCCACTCCTTTTCATTTTCGAGTACTGCATTTTATGGAGGTACCACCATCTGTTTACCCTTCCTCCCGTTGGGGGGGGGGGGTATTTGCCTTGCTTCTTGTTTTGGGCTGTTAGAAGCAAAGCTGCCATGAACATATGTGTTCAAGTCTTTGTATAAACATATGCTTTCATATCTAGCAGTGGAAGGGCTGAATCATATGGTAGATAAAGATTAAACTTTTAACGCACTGCCAAATGTTTTTCTGAAGTGGATTTACCCATTTTCTCTCTCCTCTACTTTCTGGATGCTGATTAAATATACACTCATCCTTTCTCCTGTGTCATTTATGTCTCTTACCCTCTCTTCTGTATTTTCTTTTTGTATCTGTTTCATTTTTAAAATAATTTTCAGGCTTATGGTCTACCAATTCTTTTTTCAGCCATGTCTACTCTGCTGTGAAAGCCATCAATGAAAATAACTTATTATGTTTTTCATTTCTAGACATTTCATCTTGTCCTTTTTAATATCTGCTATGTAGGTTTTTTCCTACAGATATTTCAAATGTATCTTTTATTTCATTAAATCGTAAGCATACTTGTTTTGCTGCCTGTACGGTAACTTTCTGAATTCAGATATTAAGTGCTTGTGGCTCTGTTTCTGTTCTGTTGGCTCTTGCTCGTGTTGTGGTCTTTCCTTACGTGCCTGTTTAAGTCTATATATGTGCTGGTAATACTATTCAAAAACTTATTTGTAGAAATAATTCAAAACCTGGTAGAAATAATTGAAAACCTGATAGAAAGCTGTCTCCTTACTGACTTCTGTGTTTCTTCTAGGCAACCTAGAGACACTATTAATCTGAAGTCATTTTGATATAAATTCAAAGCTTGAAGTTCCCTAGACTACTGAGGTGATGGAAATAACCACGGGAGAGCTTGTTTAGTTCAGGTACCTCCTCACCCTCAGGACAGAGTCCTCTGTGCCCCCCCCCCCTTAGAGTCAGGAGACTCTTCTCTTCAACCTTCTACTCCCTGCAGCCCCTGGGCTGTTTATTGCTGCACCTTCCACCTAGCCAGGGCATCAGAATGCAAAGTTCCAGTTCTCAAGATTGGCCACTGCTCACAGAGCAAAAACACTTTCCAGTACACATTTATCTGTCTCGGTTCTTCTTTGTTATTAAATTTGACCCTATCATTTCTTATTCTCTTTTCTGTATTTGCTTTGTAGAAAGGCTTCTAGATTTTTTTCTCCTAGCATTTTTAGTTTTCAGCAAGAGAACTGGTCAATTACCAGATCCCGATGTCTACTTTTTTCTTCCTGAGTCCTTTTTCCTGTTATTTTTTAATGAGGTCTGTATTTATTCAAAATGTTCAAACTCGTCGACATAAAGTTGTCTGTAGTGTTCTCTTTTCATCTTTTTTGTCTTTGCCATATCTGAAATTAAGAGTCCCTTTTTCATTCTTGAGTATTTATATTTGGGCTTTATCTCTTGCTTTTCTGGTCAGAGTCCTGCAAGGGTTATCTACTCTTTTGAAAAAATCAATAGAATACTCTTATTTTCTCTGTGCTTT